GGCGATCCCAGCTGAGGAGCAGAACCGGCACCCTGGCCGCTCACCGCCCCCACCCTCTGGCCCGGGCTGCTCTGATTTGAGGGTGAGTCTGGGATCTCCAACTAGCCGGTCCCGCACCCCTCCCGCAGGGCAGCCCAGGGCTCCTTTTGCTCTACGCTTGCAGGACTGGGTGCCGGTGGACCCATACCTACCTACCTACCGGGTGGTCGCTGCACAGCCCCGCCTAGGGCAGGAGATAACAACACCCGGACCACCGCTGGAGGAGCGATCCGAACCTCCCAGGTGACTGGCCCCGGACCAGGAGGAGAGACGAGGGAGTGCGTCCAGAGGCCCAGGCCCACGGTGCCCCCAGCCCTGCGGCCTCCTCGCTCAGTCTCTGCTGGGGAGAGGCAGCCAGGCCTGCGGAATGCTGCTCTGGCATGGACACCAGTGGGGGCAGGGGGCTGGCTGTGCTGGCAGGAAGCGACAGAGGAACGCTGCCAGGCCGAGCAGGCAGCAGAGTGAGGACCACAGGGCTCTGGGCTTGGCAGGGCCACCATTGTGGAGAGGGGGCCTCTGTGGGTCTCATGTGGCCACGTCATCATTCAGATGCACCACCCCCACCGCACCCCAAGTTGACTGCAGCCCCACATTTGGTCACCCTCCCATGCCCCCTCCTGACAGTCCCACTCAATCTTCCTGCCCCTCCCCACACACATGCACCTGTGCTTACACACCATCCCATGCCCAGCTGCAGCAGTATCCCCCGAGTATGCCATCTTACTCATGGGTGAGCAGGGACTCTAGGACCTGTGCAGGGTGACTTGGTTCTGGATGCCAGGGGAAAATGGAGCAGAGGCCAGATCCACCATCCTGTAGTCCGATGGTTGGTCCTTCAAGATTGTATGGGCCTCCCCTAACACCAAAATGGGGAGGTCCTTGAGTAGGGCATCGCAAGGCCAGAGAAAAAGCACCTCAGGGGCAAAAAAAGTGCCAAGAGAAAGGGGAGGGATGCACACAGCCGGATGGAGGGGTGGGAGAGACCCTGGTGGAAAAAGAGATGGGAAGAGAGGAAGGGGCATGGATGGGGACTGTGTGTGTGAGGCAGCCACTGCAGACATTTTGCACTTCTGTAGCCCTGGTAGGTGCATAACAACTGGCTTAGCTCCCTGAGGTCTTGGGGGAAGGCCAGGTCACAGCAGCTTACATGCCACACCAGCCCGCCACGCAGGGTGCCTCTGCCTCCCTCCCCGCCCACTTCTCATCTGACTCAGTGGATCCTGGCCCCATCCTGGGAGGTGGCAAGGAATCGCGTAGCCTCTGGTTAGATAAGGACAGCCAGGCCCAGCATCGGGGCAATGTGGCCTCCCCCACGGCTGGGAGGAGCCTGGCAGAGAGGACTTCAGGGACACTCCTGGGCCCACTTCCCAGTCATGGCTTGGCAGCCCAGAATGACCAAGGTAGGGCTGCTGGCCCCCTTGGGATTGGCCTATGTTGCAGCAGTCAAGCCAAAGGAGGGGCTAGAGGTGGGAGGAGGAGGGGGGTGAAGGCGGGTGTGTGTGTGTGTGTGTGTGTGTGTGTGTGTGTGTGTGTGTGTGTGTCTTGGTCTCCAAGAAGACCCTAGCAGTTCCCCTTGCTTCCATGGCCTCCAACCTATCTGGGGGAGCCCCAGGCAGAGTCTGAGCTCTATGAGAGGCTGTTGGCACCTGGGTCACAAGAGAACTGGAAGGAAGGGGCTGTTTGAGGAGCTTAGCCTGGGCTCCAGTGGAGCTGCTTAGAGCTGAGACCAGCATGCTGAGGGCGTGCACATCAGCTGGAGCAGAGGGAGGGGAAGGGCGCTCCAGGCAGAGGGAGCATCTGCAAGGGCCAGGAGACAGGCCGTTTGATGCCATGGAGTCCAAATTCTTGTCTGGTGGGAGTGCCCAGCCAGATGGAGACAGCAGCGTTGCCCTCTGCGCCTTGGCAAGGGCCATGCCATGGGAGCTTCACTCCAGGCTTGGTCAAGGCAGGCTTTCTGGAGAGGGTCGGAGAGACTGGGTTCGTGGGGAGGGGTCCTGGGCCAGGATGGCATGCCCCAGCGGGAAGCCAGGAGCTGGTGGGGACGAGGGCAGAGCTTGAGGAGCCTCAGGCACTTGAGGCTGGTGCTGGCGAGGTCAGCAGCTGTGCCCCTGCCTCTTGAGATCAGCTCACGGTTTTTTCACAACTTCCCTTCGCACCCAGCCCCAAGCTTCTCTCTCATGTTAGGGAGGAAGAACAGACCCAAACAAGCAGCCCCCAGGCTCAGAGATGCCAGACTCACCCCTATCTAACTAAACCTGGAAAGACCAGGATGGTGTGTGTGTGTGTGTGTGTGTGTGTGTGTGTGTGTGTGTTGTGAAGCTGCTGTAGCTGAGAGGGGAGGAGGGAGGCAGAGTGGCTATTTGGGCCGGCACTTCAGTCCCAGGTCATCCAGGGCCTCCTGCAACTAAAATCTACCACCAGGCCAGATTCCCTAAGCAAAGGTCTCACTGGCCTCAATGCCTCTGGCTGAATTTGCTTTTATGTTGAAGATATAAAGGACCCCTCTGAGCAACCATTCTGTGGCACAGTCCTTAAGGGTTCTGGCCCAGAGCCAGACTGCCTGGGTTCAAGTTCTGCCTCTTCCTAAAGTTGGGTAACTAGATCAATTGCTTGGCTTTTATAATTCAGCTCCTCCCTGCTGGAACGGGTGAGGATTAAATGCTTAGAACCAAGCACGCAGCCACGTAGTTCAGGGAAGCTGGCCCGTGGGCTTGCCTCCAGGAGGGTAGGAGGTCCACAGGTTAACGTGGAGGGCCAGGCTCAATCATTAAATGAGAGGCCTGGAGTCCCTTGGCCCATCAGGGTGGGCGAGGATCCTGGATGCAGCTAGGGAGGCCTGGAATGCCAAGGCCATGACGTCTGTGCTGCTGAGGGAATGCAACCTGCTGGTTTGAATTAGGTCCCCACCCTCCAGCAGATGTACCCTATTCATGCCAAACTCAGTGGAGGCAAAATATAAGCCACACCCCTCCAATCCCACATCCAGAGATCTATGCACCCCCACCCTGCAGGGCCCTGGGTCAGTTGGGGTTTCCCTGCCACCCCACCACCCCACTGGAAGCTATTGGATTTGATTCACACGGAGACAGGGACCAAGGGAGCGTTGCCTCTTTCTACTGAAACCTTTGAAAACAGACCGCCCCAGCCTCCTGCCCCTTCGTGCAGCTGCTTGCCGCCTCTGTCCTGGGGCAAGCAGGTTCTGTCTCTCAGGGCACCCGGCTCCTGCGGCTCCTGTGCAGCAGCCTCTACAGCAGTGGTTCTCAACCTGTGGGTCGCGACCCCTTTGGGGGTCGAACAGCCCTTTCACAGAGGTCACCTAAGACCATCGGAAAACACATATATAATTACATATTGTTTTTGTGATTAATCACTATGCTACCACTGCTCTACAGCATCAAAGAACTCCCTCCCCAGCTCCTTCCATCACAAGTGCCTCAGGGGACTCCGGCTCTGCCTTCACTACAGGCAGCAGCAGAGTAGATGCCCTCTCCCAGGCCCCTCACCTGGTTGCAGAGACTAACACGCAGGCTTCTCACTCCACACTGACTGGAGCCTCCTTTCCCTTCCACAGTGACGTCTGGCCATTGTTCATGGTCGCCTGAGAGGGGCATTTCCTTGGATTATCCTACCTCCTGTTCAAAGCCCAGCTGATTCAGAACAGTCAAGACCAAAGCCCTTGACATTTCCCCGGAGACTGCCCAGCTGAAGGTGGTCACTCCAGAAGGGGGATGAAGACACAGGCCCAGCAGCAAATGAACCCCGCAGGAGCCTCACTTGGGGGTGTTCCACAGCGACTTGCACATTTCCTTTACATTCTAAAGCAACACATCCAGGCTGGACTATTGTCAGCAACTGCCTGACTTGGGGGTCCTCCTTTACTGAATTTTGAAAATGGAATCTCTACAAGCCTAACTGTGAGGTTATGTTGTATTCACTAAGCAAATACAAATTCTGGAGTGCCGAGGAGGCAAAAGTTAATTGTACTTGCCCTGCGAATCCCCCTGTGGCTGCTATAAATACCCTGTGTTTCCTCCAGGAGAGCGTGCCCTGTGCCTGCTGGTGAGCCACAGGAGGAGGGAGGTGTGGAGGCTGGATCGGTGGGTTAGCAGCACGTGCAGATGGAACGGTCACATTCCTTCCTCAGCAAAGACATCCGCGTGCAGGTCACAGCTGGGTGACAGCAGCACAGCCTGGAGGAGCTCGGAGTCAGCAGGGAAGGGGACGTCTCTGCCTGAAGCTCCTGGGCTGCGCCTCCTGCCCCATCACTAATGCTCAGCTACAAGATGAAGGCGCCTCGGAGCTGGGGCAGCAAACACGCGAGCTTTCCTGTTCCACTTCAGAAAGACTAGCTGAAGTGTGGGGAGTAAAGAAAGATGAAACAGACTCCGGCTTAGACTAAGTAGATATTTTAATTTCTACAAGGTCCCCCTTTCAAGTCTTGGGGAATTTAAATGAAGTGTATACAAATTACACATTGCTGATATGTACAAAAGTATTTTCTAGTTTTTAAACAATACCAGCCATATCATGTTTCATTTGCAGTAAACAGGACATTACAAAAACAGTCCAACAATGCATTTTCTATTAAGCACAATACACAACGTAATTCAATTTTATTTATAAAATAACTTAAAATACAGAATAATCCCCTTAGGAAGAAAAACTGTCTCTGTAGTTCATTCAGTAAACACACAAGCTGAAGGCTGCAGCCGAGGGCTGTTCTTTTCAATGGAGAAAACAATGAGGCTTCCAGGGCACACTCTTCAGGATAGAACTCCACCCGCAGCCCCAGTGGGTCAAGTTACTGCCTGTGGTAGGCAGAATTCTACAGTGCTCCCTTCACCCCATATCCATGCCCCAATCCAGGACCCTGTGATGATATGTTCTATGACCTTAAAATAGGGAGACTAGCTCGGTGGGCTGGATCTAGTCACATGAACCTTAAACCAGAGGAGGAAGGCGGAGAGATCTGAAGCAGGGGGGCTCGATGGCCACCACTGGTTTGAACATGGAGGGGAACACACGGGAAGGAACTGGACTAGCCTTAGGAGCCGAGAGAGGCCCCGACAGAAACGGAATAGTGCTAACCCCCTGAATGAACACGGAAGCAGCTTCCCTAGAGCCTCCATAGGGGAATGCTGCCCTGCTGGCCCTTGGTTTCAGCCTGTGACACCCTGAGCAGAGAACCCAGCCATACCACGCCAGATTGCGAGCTACAGAACTGGGAGCTAACAAACAGGTACTGTTTTAAGCTGCAAGTTTGGGGTAATTATTTACAAAGCAATAGAAAACCAACACACTGCCCAAGGGTAACTTTCCTTAACATAATTAGATTTGGCAGTTTTTGTTTGGGTTCTAAATGCAGTTATTTTCCCCACTGAGTATCATTAAAGCAATATTCTCCATTGTAGGCAACTTTAGAAAACCCCTCATGTGAATCACACAATGTTTTGTATTCACTAGCAAGAACATTTGACTTAAGTCCTGTTTTCTAATGTACTCTTATCTATCAACTTGGCAAACTACTGACCCCTTAACCCTGTTAATGAACCTTTTATGGGTAACGGTTTGAATACACCCAAGATCCTCCTTCCACCCTTCAAGGGTGTCCAATCCCTCCAACAGAGGGCTCTTTCCCACATCCCAAGTACACCAGGCAAGGCCCGGGGTAGGATGGCACAGAGTTCTACATCAGACATCCCATATGGATTTCTTCTGCATAACTGGACTAAACTGGCACTAAGGTGATTAAGTACACTTGTGGAAAAAACTCCAACGAGATAAAACAAAAAATCACACGGTTTTTACAGGTCAAGTCATTTTTGGAGGAACCACCCCAAACTGAACGTGTAATTTGTACAGTCCCATACACCTCTTTCACTGTCTGTTGTCCGGGGTTTAGTCATGTCACCAAGGCTTCACTGAGTCAGCGTGGCCACGGCGGAAACCGGAAAACCACTTAGAACCGTCCAGCTACTGCTGTGTCTCTGACTTGAAAGACTTAGAAGCCCCGCACTATGTGCGGGATGGAGGCAGGTAGATGGTGGTGGTACTTTGAAGTCCATTCTTCAGTCCACCCTTCCAGAGGCACACACGTCAGCCAAGGAGGCTGGCCACACAACCCCTTTTGCCAATCCTGCCTGGCCCAGGAGACCCCCAGCCCACATCATGGCCTGAGAGGACCCCTCCAAATATTCAGTGAATATAGCGGAGAAGGAACCGTGTATGGTGCCAGTGAATAAAAAAAATTTTTTTTAAAATTTCTCTACGAGATTCTAACGTATAGTATAGAAGATCAACGCCTAAAGAGGCACCAAAAGGTACCAAGCACCAAAGGGTGAAGTGGAGTAGAATGGTTTTCACAGTCTAAACTTCTGAGAGTGCTTATTAGAAAGCACATGAAACATGAGGTGCTCGGCCGCTGCACGGACTATAGTTAAGGCTGATTCATTCTTAGCCTCGCCTGCCAACATGAAGTAATACAGACGGCGGGCTGTGTAATGACCACTTTCCTGATCCTCTGAGACAACACAGAAGGAATGAATCAAGAGCCCCAAAGCTACTACCTCATGCTCCTGACTACCATCAGTATCAATCTAGGTGGTTTGATTTTAAGAGCACATATGTGTTAGACACTGTTAATGGTATATAAACATTTGGCCACCTTTAATAGTTCTCCACAGGTCTGTGCTTGGCAGCAAATACTGAACCTGAACAATGGGCAAAAAAACTCTGCATTCTAAGGAACACCTAAGATGGTAGAGAAAACATCTATCTAAAATAATATTGCAAATTATACTAAAATTTCATGGTTTCTTGATTCAAGAAAATGAAATTCACTTACATAGTCGATCGGTTGCCTCCCATGCTCGCCTTGACCTGGGATCAAACCTGCAACCTTTTTTGGGGTACAGGTATGACACTCCAACCAACAGCCACCGAGCTGGGGCAGTAACTGTCGCTTTTTGTTTTGTTTTCTTTTTTAAATCCTCACCCAAGGATATTTTTTCTATTGAGAATGGAAGGGAGAGAGAGAGAGAGAGACTGAGAGAAACACCAATGTGAGAGAGACACATCGATTGGTTGCCGACTAGGACCAGGGATCGAGCCTGCAACTGAGATACGTGCCCTTGGCTGAAGTTGAACCCTTGACCCTTCAGTCTGTGGGGCAACGCTCTAACTACTGAGCAAAACTGGCTACTAGGGATGTAGCTTCTTATTTACAAGAGTGGATTGAAGGTGCTGATGTGGTGACACTGGACTTTTCAGAGATGTTTTAAATGGCAGATAGTAATATTAAGGTTAAGATAAAATAAAGAAATATTACATCTTGGAAAATTCTTTGAAATCCACTCATGCAAATGAGCAAAGTAATTTTCCATGCTACCCAAATGGTCATCAATATGTCATCAGACTGAGGAAGTGAGGGGTATGGAAAGCAAAATGGTGCCCAGTGAGGGGTGAGGGTGTGGGGCATGGACAGGAGCATTATGATCGTGCGTCAAGAGGACATGGTCACCATCCAGTTAGTTGGAAAGAGATTCACTGGGAGCCACTTTGTAGATACTAGGAACACACACACACAAAAGGGACCAAGTGCTGTTCCCTGGGGCTCAAGGATAGTACAGAAGAGTGGCAAGGCAAATGACATACACGGGCGTGGGGGTGGCTTATCTCAGGTCAGCAGTCAGGGAGGACTTCCCAGGGGCAGTAGGCTGCAGTGGAGACCTGCAGGATAAGTGGGGATTGGCCATTTCAAGAGGTAGGGGGGGAGATACTGGCATGGGGGTCTCTAGGCAGAAGCAAAGGTTCCAGCACATTAAAGCGGGGAGACAGAAAAGCCTGGGCTGGAGGTGTGGGTGGAGAGGCCTGAGGTGCAATGCTAGAACCTGGACGTGTGCCGGAGGGCAGTGCGGATGGAGCCCTTGAAGAGTTTCAAACAAGGAAGTGCCCAGATTACACATAGCATGATATTCTACAAGGATCACTGATTGTCCCTGCAGTGAGTGGGGGAAGGGTATGACCGAAAGTCCCCAGGAAAGGGATATTACAAAAAGTCACCATAACAACTTGCAGTTTTAGGCAAAATGTTACATAAAAAATAATATTTATAAATATAATATATAAGAAACACATTTTCCCCCAAATAAATGACAAGATACAAACCTCAATTCTGCTGTTAAAGCAAATAATTATGACATTTTATTATACATTTATTTTTAAAAATTGACAAACTGGCTTTGCTGTTTCTAGCAACAAGCCCTATTTTAAGAAGTGGGCCATGCTTTGGGTGGACTACTCTCTTTACTCCTTCCAAGAGAAATGTTTGTCTAAGGAAGATGTGAATATTTAAAAATCCATTTTAGAGTCAACATTAACAATAACTAACAAACAATCCTTGGCAACTCTTAATACAAAGGCCACATTTAGCAGCTGCCTGTGGGTTGCTGAAACTCAAGAGGAGGAAAAGGATTTGTCTTATGAAGATTATGCTTTCTCTCCTAAGTCTACCGCCTCGCACACCCAGTGCCCACGGGCACGTGCAGTGTTCTGGGGAGGGACCCACCTGGACCGCCGGTTGTAGCTTCTGCCGCGGTGGTAACTGTCGCTCCTCTGGCTGCGGCTGCGACTGCGACTCCTGCTGTAGTAGCTGTCGTAAGTGTAGGACCTGCTTTAACAGCAACAACAAGCACTAAGGTTTCCTCCTCAAGCACTCACATTCCCGCTTATTTTTAGGAGCTTCAGGCTGTGTTCTTAGAACATGGGCACTGTTTGATGGTGTGAGGCGCATGTGCATAACAAGTACTGAAAACATTTAACAAGTTCCCCAAATCAGACTTACCGTATTAAACAGAAAAATGTTAATTCTTTTCTGCATTGAAAAATATCACAAAATTAACACTGAGTTAGTTGGATTGAATCTGGTGGGTATCAGGCAATTATATTCAATAAACACCTGCCATTACAATTTGACATCAATTGTCCCTTTTGACACTAGAGTACAATGGGCCAACAGAAAAAAACTCAAAGAGACCTCATTTAGAAAGGGTATGATTTCATGAGACAAATATGTGTGTTTAAGTTTCTCAATAAAATGCAACACATTTTAAAGGGAATTAAGGGTTTTATAAAACAAGGCCTCTCAATTCTGCCCCGCAGGTGGCTGCCCAGTCCCCGTGCATACCTGGACCGACTGTGGGGATCGTATGAGGTGCTCCTGGACCTGCTCCTGCTGGACGTCCTAGTAGTAATCACAGGAGGGACTGTCATCTTAGGGGTTAGGACAGGCTACATCAAAACTCTAGACACTTATTTGCCCATCAAGAAGAAAACACAATGACATCCAGCAGCTATACTGATTCTATCTTATCTCAAAAGCATGTTGGATGTTTTAAAAAGCATGTTGGGTTTCATAAGAAAGATTAAGTTTCTGCTCTTCTGCACCTAAAGAAAGTCACTTTGACCTGGGGTGGTAAACACACAATACAGCACACAGATGATGCACTTTAGAACTGTATACTTGTAACTTGCATAATTTTATTAACCACTGTCACCTCAATAAATTCAATAAAAAATAAGAAAGTCAGTGGGGAGGCTCTAACTGGGTGGGGGAGGAAGGTCTGCTCAGGGAGGACACTTATAAGTAAAATGAAGCTGCAGCCGTGGGAAATACCCGAGAGGCCTCCTTTTTCCTTCTGGTTCCCCCTTTAAAACTCCTATCCCAATCTCTCACCCAACTCAAGAGGTGACTGCAGATGTGGTTAAGGAAGATGTACTGTGAGTCGGGAGGAGGAGGAGGTAGAGGTCACAGGGCCTCTTTAAAATATTTCTACTGCTTCCCTTTCCTCATTCTGGGAAGATCCCAGCCTGAGAACAGCCAGTAAGAATCTGACTGCCCTAAAAAAAAAAAAAAAAAGAAGAATCTGACTGCCCTTTTAAAGAAAGAACTAGCCGAGGCCGGTTTGGCTCAGTGGATGGAGTGTCGGCGTGCGGACTGGAGGGTCCTGGGTTCGATTCCGGTCGGGGGCATGTGCCTGGGTTGCGGGCACATCCCCAGTGGGAGATGTGCAGGAGGCAGCTGATTGATGTTTCTCTCTCGTCAATGTTTCTAACTCTCTGTGTCTGTACCATCCTCTCTGTGAAGAATCCATAAAATATATTTAAAAAAAAAAAAGAAAGAACTAGATGAGGAAAAAGCTGGACTGGCCTTCAGCAACGACAAGCCTTGAGAAGCAGACGGGATGGAGACCATACAGGAGGGTGGGTTCCCGCTCACCTATGACTTTTGTAACTGCGGGAGGAACTGCTCCGGCTTCTTGTGCGGCCTCTGCTGTACCACCCTCTGCTCCGACTTCTAGAGTAGCTTCTCGATCTACAACGAAGAGTGGAAACTGTAATCACAGCAACTCCCCATGCTGTTAAACTTAATTACTTAGAGGGCAGGCAGGGGAAAGCTCAGTCAGAGGGAAGGTCGTTGGGAAGATCTCTCAGGCCCTCCTCACAGTGGGTATGGCAGTGACAGCTAGTAAGGGTTTAAAGTGCACTGAATGAAATAAAGAAAAGCCAGGAAAGGCTAGTACAGGTATGTCTATAGGAGTCCTATTAGTACTGGAAGAGGAAACAATCCAATCTTTATTAATGGTAGAACGGGTTAAAGAAATTAATGCACAGATTTATATTGAAATGTTCTAAAGCAGAAAAATGTATTAACTACAGCCTTGTGTATCAACTGAGCTATCTCTCTGGAACATAATGTTGAGTGAAAAGGCAAATGTAGAACATATATAATAAAAGGCTAATATGCAAATCGATGGAATGGCAGAATGACTGGTTGCTATGATGCGCACTGACCATCAGGGGGCAGGCACTCAATGCAGGAGCTGCTCCCTGGTGGTCAGTGCACTCCCACAGGGGGAGGGCCGCTCAGCCAGAAGCCCTGAGCTGGGCTCACAGCTGGCGAGCACAATGGTGGTGGCAGGAGCCTCTCCCGCCTCCGCAGCAGCGCTAAGGATGTCCGACTGCTGGCTTAAGCCATCAGTCAGACGTCCTCTGAGGGCTCCCAGACTGCGAGAGGGTACAGGCCAGGCTGAGGGACCTCCCCTGTGTGCACGAATTTTGTGCACTGGGCCTCTAGTTACTTATATAACCAATAATTAAACTCTAATTTTTTAATCTTAAGAACTATAGTTATGTTAATCTTTGTATGTTTGCCTGATTACTTTAAGAGTTCTCAAAAGTGGAATTGTTAGGTCAAAGAGGATATATATATCCTATATAATAAGAGGTTAATATGCAAATCGACCCAACGGTGGAACGACTGGTTTCTATGATGTACACTAACCACCAGGGGGCAGACGCTCAACGCAGGAACTGCCCCTAGTGGTCAGTGTGTTCCCACAGGAGGAGCGCCATTCAGCCAGAAGCCAGGCTCGTGGCTGGCAAGCACAGCAGCGGTGGTTGGAGCCCCGCTTAGCGCGGGGAGCGTGCCTAAGCTGGCAGTCAGACATCCTCCAAGGGGTCCCGGACTGTGAGAGGGCACAGGCCGGGCTGAGGGACACCCCTCCAGTGCATGAATGTTGTGTACTGGGCCTCTAGTGTGTGTGTGTATGTATATCTGTGTGTGTGTGTGTGTGTGTGTGTGTGTATATATATACTTTGAAAACATGCAAAAGCAACACTGTATAAGGATAGAAACATTTGTGGTAAAACTATAAAGAAAAGCAATAAAACTATAAGGGAAGTTCAGAATAATGTTTAACTCTAGGAGAAAAGAGAGAAAGTAGGGTAGCATGGGTAGGGCTACATCAGGGATGTCAAAGTTCTATACTAGTATTTTAAGTTAGATGACATTTTTTATTACTTCTTATACCTTAATCACTTATTTTATTTGTATATCTATTTAATATTTAATAAAACAAAAACTCAAGCAATGCAATCCTACCCCTCTGCACTCACTTGGCCCCCTGCCCTTCTCCCCAGTTCATACGTGTCACTCAGGATCAGAACAATAGCCCTAGTGTAGGCTACTTATGTAATGTAGTACCTCACAGGTTTTATGCAGTTTTGAACACATTATGTCCTAATAAGATTCTGGTCATTTACCCAGCAAGCACTTATAAAGCAGACTCTGTGAGGGACTGGAATATGAGTAGGGAGCAGTTTCTGGATTAGCAGACATTTAGTCCATCCAAAATGTCCATCTGGCTGACACCAAATGGTCCCTGATACTTGGTCCTGTCAAAAACATCCATGTTTAAAAAACATCCCTGGGTTCAAAGAGCTCATGTTTATTTCTATATATATTTTTAATCCTCACCCGAGGATATGTTTACTGGTTTTAGAGAGAGGAATGGAGAGGGAGGGGGAGAGGGAGAGGGAGTGAGTGGAACATGGATGTGAGAAACACCACCTTTCGGTGTACAGGACAATGCTCCAACCAACTGAGCCACACCAGCCTGGGCTATTTATATTTTTTATGTAATACATAAAAAATACTATCATGTTTTAGTGGTCCAATAACTGTGGGGTAGCTGCACTGCCAACAACAACACCCCTTCCCACCCACCCCCCTTGGGGTCAGGCCGATCAGAGGATATGGACCAAACGTGTCCACGGATGCTTTGGATAGGACCAAGATGTTCTGCAAGGCATTCTCTGACGTTAGCGAGTTCACAGCCTAGTAGGGGCATCAGGCCTAGGTGGGTAACCAAAACAGAGAGGCAGAGTTCAGCTATCTCAGTCTACTACCCTCAGCTGAACAGCTTAGAGCAAATTCCTTAGCTTCTCTATGCCTCACCTCATTTATAAAATAAAATACCACCCACCCCAAAGGCACTAAGTGGGAGTGGCCAGCATCACCAACAGCTCAGAGCTATCCGAGTGTAAATGGGAAGGCAGATGTTGAGCAGACAGGAGGCTCGAGTAGCTAAACAGGCAGCTGCACCAGGGGGTGGGCCTAAGCTGGCAGGTGGACATCCCCCAAGGGGTCCTGGACTGCGAGAGGGCGCAGGCTGAGCTGAGGGGACACCCGCCCCCCACCCCCGCCAAGTGCACAAATTTTGTGCACTGGGCCTCTAGTACAAAATAATACTGAATGTCAATTGTACTTGAAAAAATATATATATATAATACACACATACACATAAATAAATAAATAATACACACACACACTCACACACAGGTGCTCATCTTGAGGAGGCAACTTTGTCTCTCTGGTCCTCATCTCTCATGTATGTGAAGTGGAGGGTTAGACAGATAATCTCTAAATCCTTTCCATCCTGTAAATTCAGGATTCACCACTGACAGGTGAGAGAGCAGCTTCACACCTTTAAAGATTAACAACTTGCCACCTAGCATAGCAACTGATTTCTATTGCCAGGGAGCTTCAATTGCAAGTGAGAGCCTTTTACAATGAGCCTAATTTCTTCCCTGAAATCTACTCCGTGTCCTCAATCTGCTGAGTCACACAGCACAAGACTTCTCCTTATTCACCTTCCAGATATTTGGAAATAGTGATCTTGTCCCTAATTCTGATGTTCTTCCAAGCTCAACAATAACAGACTCTCTTTGGGAGGAAAAAAAAAGGGAAGAGAACATTGCTCACCGATAAGATGATGTGGAACTTCGAGATCGACTTCGTGAGTGACTGTAGGAGACAGACCTGGTTCTATGTCTTGATTTGGTTTCAGATTTGCTCCGAGATCGACTTGGACTCCTGGACTGACTGTCACCATCCCGACTAGGTGTCTGCTCATCACTTGAACTCTCCTGATTTCTAGGCCTCCGGTTTAAGCGTGCTGTCTTCCTCACTTCATCAAAGAGGGATCCAGGCCGAACTTTATTTTTGCTTTTAATTTCTATTCTCAAGCCTTGTGGTTTCATTTCAGGCACAGCCGTCAATGCCTTCACTTCCACGGCACTGGATGTAGCCGTTGGTGCTGCCAGGTTCCCCACCCCTTGCAGGGGCTTCCATTTATTATCCAGGAGGCTGACCTGACCCCTTTCGGCCGCCTCCCTCCTCGCTGTGCTTTCCACAGCACCAGCTGAGCCCGTGGAGCTGCTGTCAGGTTTCCCCACCTCCCGCACCGTGGGGCTTTCAGACACGCTGCTTTCCTGTTTCCCCACCTCTGCCGCAGGATGTTCTGCCTGCTTTACAGCGATGCCCGTTTCTGGGGTGTCAAGCCTTGAATTTCCCAGAGGGGATGCTCCCTCCACTTTTGCTGGGGAACTCCTGTCAGGAGTGCAAATCTCCATGTTGTCATCGGCTTGAAACATGTCTTCCACTCTGCCTGGGACACTTTCTTCAATGTGCTGAATGTTTGGGGGAGAACTAGCGACATTTTCCTCAGTAGCTGAAGGTGTGGGAGAAATGCTGAGTTTACTCTCATCGTTAGCAGGCTGCTCAGTATCTGATAAAATCGTGACTGCATTCTGTTTATCTGAAAGGCTGCTGTCTTCACAGGGCTTCTCAGTTTGGGGGATATTTTCTTTTGTAGTTTCACTGTTTTCAGAAGCTTGTTTTTTCTCCTGTGACTCCTGAGTCACTTGCTTTTCATTACTCTCCTCCTCCTCCTCTTCACCAAATTCTAGTGGAGGCTGCCAGTGAAATGCCTGTTTTCGTTTTGGGGCCTTATGCTTTTTGTCTTTTTTCCCTTTCATTTTCTCTTTCACTTTTTTGGTGTGTTCCCTTTTCAGAGCTTCCTTTGACGCGTGTTTGTGCTTCCTTGGCTTTCCCCTAGGGTTTTCTGAGTTGCAACAGGACCCCTCAGAATCAGAGGTGGATGACTGCTGTTTGCTTGACTTCCAAGCACCATTACCATCGGGCAGTGAAGAACTTGCTGAAGACTTTGTTGTGGGTTTGGCTTTGACGTGAATTTCACTAAACTCTGACTCAGAATCTGATGTGGCCTCACCTTCCTCCTTATCAGAAGATGGCAGGGAATTCTTTTTACTGCTCTTAGTTACGTCTCGTTCGGAATTCGACTCAGAGTCCCATTTACTCCCAGCATAATTCTTCCTTTTGGGCTTATTGGCACTTCTAAAGTGATCAGAAAGATTCTCTTTCAAAGTTCTTTTTTTTGAACGCGGGCATTCCCGTTCAGGCTTGGATTTCTCTTCATCTCTGTTTTTCTCTCGTTTGTTACTCATTTCCATTTGGACTTGCTTCTCTTTCTCCTGGGCTGACTGTGTCACCTGAACACCTGAGTGTTCACTGTCCGAAGAATAATCTAAGGATGACCTGCTTTCGCTATACTTTCTCGGGCACGAAGACTTGTCTCTGCCTTTGGTATATTTACTGCGAGGTGTCTTTCCAGAGCTGCTGCTCTGCCTTTTATGTGAAGTGCTATTTTTTCCACTGGATCTAAGTTTTCTCTTTGCTCGTCTTCCAGCATCACTGCTAACAGAAGAATATGAAGATGATCTACTACATTGTGAGCGATCACTGTATTTATTTCGTGAATGAGATCTAGATGAGGGAGACCTAGACCTTGAGTGTGAACTTGCTACACTTCTCGACCTTGTGTACGATCTGGAATAAGACCTACTCCTAGAGGATCTGCTCCTTGACCTTGGGGAACTTTCTGAACTTCTATCACTGTATTTTGAATAAGCACTCTGATCACTTTCTGAATTTTTTTCTCTTTTATTGTAGGATGATGAACTACCAGTCTCCTTAATATTTGTTAAACTGTAAGTGCTTTGGATGGGTAGCAAATGGGTTGTTTTTGCTTTCATTTCCTGAATTCGCTCATAAGAGGGCTTCCAGGGCTTCTGTCCAGGCTTCCACCTGGAAGGAGGGGGACTGTCACTCAGTGGTATCACAGGAATATGTTCCGCCACCACTGGCTGTTGTACTAGGACGGTTTCACTCTGTGGCACTGTTGCTCTTAAAGGTTCTGTTTTAACTGGTTTATTTTCACTTAGCTGAGGGGCTGTTCTTTTGGGGGACTTTGATGCTGTCCGTTGGTGCCCTGACTTGGAACTAGATCTGGACTTTGATCTACTTGGGGAATGTGAGGAGGATTTCGATGGAGTCCGTGATCTTGAGCTTCCTCTAGAGTAAGACTGGGAGTGAGATTTGGATCTGTAGGAGTCTCTGCTGGAATGGGTGGAAGAGCTCTGATCACCCTTATCAGATTTAGACCAGTCCCTCTTGGATGAGTGATGAGAGGATAGCGAGGAAGAACGAGATCTCCTTTCTCTATCACAAGGGAATTTCATTCGTCGGGTAGAAGATTTTGAGGATTCTATGTCAGATGGTACAATAATCCTTCTCTTCTTAGTCTGTTTGTGTCTTCTGCAATGTTTTTGCTTTTTAGCTTTCTTTTTATGTTTAACTTTTTTGTCTTTTCTGCGTTTTTTATGGTGACCATCAGAGTGTCTTGCTGTACTAAGGTCTGAATAATATCCATTGTAAGACCATGATCTCGATCTTTGGGACAAGCTTCTTTCATCCCATCGGCTTGAACAGGGGTCACTTAACCTATAGAAAATAGCATAATATGCATCCATTACTTCCAAGCATGTTTTGTATATTTAAAAATTTTTTTTAAATGTATTGATTTTAGGAAGAGGGAGAGAAAGAGAGGAAAGGAGGAGGGGAGCAGAGAAATACTGATTTGTTGTTCCACTTATTTATGCATCCATCGGTTGCTTCTTGTATGTGCCCTGACAAGAGATCAAACCCACAACCTTGGTATGTTGGGATGATGCTCTAACCAACTGAGTTACCCGTCCAGGGCTTCTATGTTTTAAAACTAAAGCACATTTTGTTGTCCATACAAATGCACTGACAAAAGCCTACTTAATGACAGAGTACTGGCTCCATCAACACTTGAAGCACTTGCAGGAAGGATAAATCAGAGTGACCGGCCTGATCCTGACCTTACAACTGCAGACACAGGGGCAACTGCTGACAGAGCCAGTTACAGAAGGGTTTTCTCCATAGCTAAGCAAAGAACTTCAACGTTGATAGGAAAATGTAAAATGGTTTTGAAAACCAAACCAACGAATCACAAGAGCACTGCTGACTACCATGTTCCTGACTGTGAGCAGCTGATAACCCTCTGCCTCCAGGAACAATGTTACACTCAGTTCCCAAACAATCCTGTGGAGTCCCTGCAGATACAGGACAGCTACCTGAACTAGAAGAGAAACCCCTTTTGCTTAAGAAGCTGGCAAGACTATCATTTTAGCTCAGCCTCACAGAGATAATCAAGACCTTCCCCTAAGGTTTAAACTACTTACTACAGAAACTGAGGAAAAGTACGTGAAAATAGACGCAGGCTTTAAATCTCACTGGTAACGTCAGGCTCAAAATCGAGCGTTCACAGTACCACTGTGTCTAAATCACTTCCACACCGCAGATGCACACCTTTCCTTCCTCTTCCAATCTCAAACACGCTACAGGATGCCCACTCCGAAAAAGAGAATTTTATCATGAACAATTACAGAGGGTCCCATTGGTATGTTTTCTTTTCTTTTTTTTTTTTTTTAAGTCTATTTTCACTAGCTATTGTGAGGCCAGCCACATTTCTAAAATAAGCATTCCACTGTGGGGTGTCACTTTGTCCTGGGGTCAGAAGTGAAGGCATACACTGGATACAGATTTTCCCATCTATCAATTCACTCATCAGTGACTAAGAGACCTGGCTATGAAAGTACCTGCTATATCATTTTAAGTCTGATTATTTCTAAAATGGAACAAGAAATCTTTGAGAGACTCAGTAGGTTTACAGTCTTGTGAGGGAAAATTTTGAATTAAAAGCACCCCAAGGCCATCAGCCCTCCTGGTTCATAGCACTATTTTTGCCAAGTATTCCCAAATGTATTCTCTGGTCACTGTCTAATTTTAAATTTAAATCTTTAAGGAAAAATCCAAAAGTAAGTCTCTATCTACTTTATACTTAAAATATAGCAGACACAGGATTGTGCGTGTACGCAAAGCTCTTACTTATCTCCTTTACTCCACTTTTCTCCACTAGGAGGTCTGTATGCTCTCAGTCTCTGCATCTCCTCTTTCCAGTGAGGAGGAGTCTCACTGCTGTCATCATCATCTGATTCAGAGCAGGACCTTGACCTTGGAGGTGTGTGATAGCGCTTTAAAAACAAAGACAGGAATCACTATTTTAAAACTGCTCCTCAACTACAGTCTGCTATAGGACAGAGTTAGGTGTAAGACCCAATCTCAGACCCCATTCAAAGGCAAGAGGATGATATAAAGTTATATCAAACAAAAGCAACTAAAAGAAATAGGAATGGCTGAGATTCACCTAAAATCACACGTGAAAATTTCCTCTTCCAAGTCCTAATGGATACATTCATTAGCCTGGAGTACTCAGCATACTAAGATTTCTCACTGATTGCTTCACATGTTCATTTCATATCTAAACCCTTTCAAACAGGGCAGGGAACTCTAACAGCAACACTGTCCCATAGTTATGGAGAACACCTTGAACAGATTTTGGATTCTACCTAAAATTAAAGCTAGGATTTTGCCTACAGGTAAAAACATTTTACTGCTTAGATAATCTGAAAAAAGAAGTATTAACAAACATACAATTGTGCCCCTTCCTTTAATCTTCCGTCCAGACTTTGACACAGATGGTTTCTGATCACTTACAATGGGTGTAGCATCAGGAATCTTCCTGGAAAGGAGGATAAAAAATAAAATTAGGAAATGTAAGCAGTTTTCTCAATGTTTACATGTACAATTTATGCTTCTATAATACAAAAACACTTTATTTAGACCCAGCATTTTTGTAGAATGAGGCACTCCACAAAATCTAATTCTTTAAGCAAATGTTTTAAATGCCAAAACTGGGGGGTGGGGATGGGCTGAGGGTGAGGGGAAAGGGAGTAACCCAACTGGGTAGAAATACATGATACTAGTAGTATCTATTTTTTCCAAGCACAAAATCTTTTTAAGCACAGTACTATTTTTAAACAAAATCCTCTTTTTCTTTTTTTTATGTGTTAATCCTCAAATGAGGGTATTTTCCACTGATTTTAGAGAGAGAAACATCAAGGTGAGAGTTACATCGATTGCTTGTCTCACACACACACCCCGACCAGGGCTGGGGATCGAGCCCATAACCAAGGTACGTGTCCTTGACCAGAATCGAACAAAGGACCCTTCAGTCCATGGGCCTACATTCTATCCACTGAGCCAAACTGGCTAGTGCAACAAAATCCTCTTTTAGATGTCTCTTGTCAAAAAGTAATGTTCTAAAGGAATCCTGAGTTATTCTTGATTCTGATGCTTAGTTGTGCTTTTTTAAGTCATTTTTAATTTTACTTTATATTTCTTACAGTTCATCTGTCTCCACCTCTCTACTATAAACTGTCACTCTTTCAATGCTCTGAAATGGGTGCCTCATCTTATGGGCAATTTTAAGAGTTTGGATTTTGTGGTGACTATAGTTCTCCATGCATAAGAAGTTTTTTCATACCTCACCTTAATATAATAGCTAGCTTTCAATGAGTACTTACTATCTATCAGGCATTATGTTAATGAGCATTTTTAAATACACTTTTTATGGGGTACAATATATATAACACAGAATTGACCAATTTAAGCGTACAATTCACTGGCATTAATTATAGTCACAATGTTATGCAACCATCACTATTTTCTTTCTAAAACTTTTTGGAAAGAAGCCCTGGACGGGTAACTCAGTTGGTTAGAGCATCATCCCAACATACCAAGGTTGTGGGTTGTTGGTTTTTCAAACCAAAACTCTCTTCATTAAACTCTAATTCTCCATCACCCCAACTTCTGTTTATTACTCTATTGCAGGGGTCCTCAAACTTTTTAAACAGGGGGCCAGTTCACTGTCCCTCAGCCCGTTGGAGGGCCGGACTATAGTTTATTTATTTATTTTTTTTAAATATATTTTATTGATTTTTTACAAAGAGTAAGGGAGAGAGACAGAGAGTTAGAAACATCGATGAGAGAGAAACATCGATCAGCTGCCTCCTGCAAACAATATTTGTATTTGCATGTGGCCCGCGGGCTGTAGTTTGAGGACCCCTGCTCTATTAGATCCAAAGAGTTCAACTCACTTTGCTCTGACAACCAGTTTCACCTCTAATGAAAAACCAAGGAAATAAGGTTAGTAATGAAATCTTTCCAGGCCTCCAATAAGAATTTCTCCCCTGACCAACTTGTCCAGCCCCCTTTTTCTACTACTTATAGAATATGAATTCTGAAAGGTAGGGTAAATGTCATTCTTGAATCTGATATCTCCCGTAGTTAATTTTCAAGCGCTTTGACTATAGGTCATGTTCCATAAATGAGTGTGGAACGGCAATGAGCTTGATGAAAATCATCGATCGGAAATAAAAACACAGGTTAACCATCCTACTTACGGTTCAGGTTCCACTGTGACAAGAGGCATATCTCTTCTCAGCAAGAATCGGTTCTCGGGCACTGGGGGTATCTCTTCTGGGCGGACCACAGGCTTTTCCCTTTTAGCATTTGAATCCACTGACCTTTCCCCATTGTTATCACTTCTCTCAGAGGGACTTAGAGAGAACACACCAAGTCACCAATTATGATATGTACTGTTTGCATTCCACAATAATAAAAGCACATAAAATTAGATATTAAATAGCAAAACTGATACAAGTCTCACTCCAAAGGTTTATAGTTTCCTCAAAGAGAACATATGTCAACTCAAGTGAAAACCCACAGTACTAAAATTCTGAAAACTGTCAAATGTATCCAAATTTTTTCTTTTAAGAGTTTCAGGGAGCCCTGAACTACATGGCTCAGCTGGTTGGACGTTGTCCGGAGAACCAAAAGGTTGCTGGTTCTATTCCCAGTCAGGGCACATGCCTGGGTTGTGGGCCCAATCCCGGTTAGGGGGCATGCAGGAGGAAGCTGATCAATGATCCTCTCTCATCATTGATATTTCTCTCTCTCACTCTCCCTTCCTTTCTAAAAATCAAAAAAATATATTTTTTAAAAGTTTCAGGGATTGTTTTCACCTGCAAACAAATGTTTATGCTACCCTATATTTGCCAGACTTCATTTACAGTAAAAAGATGCTCTCTTTTTTCAACAATAGGTTGCAGAGCTAAGTTACAGAATTATAAATGCTTTCCCCATTCCAGAGAGTTTATTTTTTTTAGGTACAATGATTCTAGGGTTTCACTTACCCTTTTGGACTCACTGCATGTTTATTCCTTGGCTCTTCTGAGCTACTTGCTTCCTTTCGTCTTCTTTTAGGATGTTTAACTTTTGGCCTCCTCTTATGTTTCCTTCTTCTGCTTCTCTCACGTTCAATTTCACTTTCTGAAGATGATTCTGAAGAGGAAGAGGAACTGGAAGAGGAATCCGAGTCTTCTGAATGAGTTGGTTTCTTCCTTTTTTTCTCAAAAACTTTCAAGAAATATTAACAAAAACATTAGTACTGGATTTCAGTGCCTACCTTTCAGAGTAAAAAAATCTGATTAGCAAATACTGTAAAACATGCTTTATGTATAACAAAATAAAAACAACATTTAAATAAACTTTTTTAAAAGCTGATAATACTGTTTGCTGGTGGGATTGTAAGGCAACAAGCCCTTGCCTTCATGAAATCTATGTTCTAGAGGGGTCAGATAAGAAAGTAAGTAACTGCATAATATGACAAATAGTAAGTGAAGAAAAAGCAGTATAAAGGGAATAGGGAGTCAGGGGTAATTTAAGATAACATCTGAGCAGAGACTTTAGTAAAGGGAGTGAGGGGGTCAGTCAGGTATCTGAATAGAGTGTTCCAGACAGAGGAGTCCGCAGCACAAAGTCCCCGAGTATTTGGCATGCCTGAGTCGTCAAGGTCAACATGCTGGAAGACAATGAATGAGGAAGAAGTCGGAAACAACAGGGAGCCAGATGCCTTACAGGCCATTATAAAGACTTCAGCTTTGGCTGACTGAGAAGGGAGACCTAGGAGAAGATCACTCTGGTGGGTCTTAAGGACAGACTGCAGAGTACTGCCACTGAGAAAAGATTATAGGAGAGCAAAGATAGAGGCAAAGTACTTATGAGGCTACTGCAATAAGCCAGGTAAGAGACACTGGTGGTGTTGACCAGGCTGCAGGGGAAGTAAAAAGAAGAGGTAAGATTTGCTGATGGACTGGATACAGAGTATGAGAAAGGGTCTCAGAGCTATGGATACACCACTCATTAAATCCAGGAGGTATCTTTAAGTCACAGTCTTCACCGTGAGTTGCCTGTACCCTGGCTCCCATTACCCCCCCGCCTCCGAACTCTTACCATCTTTTGTTGATTTTGTGGCAAGCACCCCACAGTCAATAACTCGCACATCTGCATAAGGTCTGCTTGCAGCATCAGTTTTCAGATTTTCAATTTGTTCGATTACTTCAAAACCAGAAATAACTAGTCCAAAGACAACATGCACCCTGTCACAACACAAATGTAAGAAAGAGTTGGTTTGCTGACAATTAAGCACGAGCAGTAATCATGTCCACAGACCTAAATATAAAAGCACAGTTTCTGATGCATAAAGGAAATTAGAATCTGAAATCTACTTCATAAAAGAAAAAAAGCAATTACTCAATTTGGGCCTTAGTTTTCTGCCTTTAAAACAATGGTTCTTATTTTATGATAAATAGTCCTATAACAGTCAGAATGTACTTGCTACTCAGAAACCATCCCTGCAGGGTCGCTTCATAGCTGAGAAGCCCTGGTAAAGACCCCTTCAGGGACATGGAAGCCATGGAGTCTCAAGGTTACTGCGCCCTATGATCTTTAAGGAAGAGTTTGGCTGTATAAGATCAAGAGCGGCCCCTTGAGGGTTTACCCATGGTCCAATATGCCTGGGACTGGCCACACAGCCCCCACCTCCCCCTGCCCAAAGTAATACGAAATAACTCTTACCCATCCAGGTGCGGCGCAGGTTTCGTGGTACTGTGGAACCAACATCACAAAGATGGCAGAGACCAGGTGTTCAGGTGAACAGAGCGGAAGAGTTTAACACAGAGCATGTAGAAAACAAAGGGGTAAAGATAAAAAGACCAGGAAAAAGTTAAATATGATATACATGTAACTTAAAACACATATGAAAACCTTAAAAACAGCAAGAGTAGCATTTTACTGATTAAAAAACTCAAAATTATATCTATTTCTCCAATGTGAAGACTATATATACATATATGCACACACACATACACATATTTATGAAATAGGTTTGAAATATACAGCATAGACATTAATATTAAAGTTACTCTAAATTAAAAAAAACAAAAAACCAAACTCAAGATGTATTAAGATAATCAAACAAGAATAAAAAGAACTATCATTTGCTCAATGAAAATGAAAGTGTGACCAACACGTGCTCCACACACTGGACGAGCATGAGTTCTGTTCCTATGTCTCATACTGAGTCAGTGTGCAGCTTTTAGGCAGGCAGATGGGAGTGAGGCCTCAGGAATTCTGTTTCCAGAACTTTCCACCCCTCTTCCTTCACCTAAGGTGAAGCTCTGCCACCACTCAGAGCAACTCTGAAAATGCAGTAGGAGCAAACCTCCAATCTGCCAACACTTCTGGCAGCAAGGCAAACAATGATGGGTAACATCACAGACATTTCAAATTTCCGTGGCCCAGAAAACACTCAACTGGCTTCTTCCAGTCACAAGCTGGCAGCTAGTCACTCTTGAGAAGCCTCTGGGGTACATTTGGTTAAAATACTTTGAACCCAAACTGGTTTTCCCATAGCATTTTCACAAATATTCGCCTTGTGAATTGCAGTAGAAAAAAATCAAACGCAGAAATAACTAGACTCAGATGCATATGCCACAAACATCTTAACTTTTAAGATGACTAATGAACACTTGAAAGAAAGATCACTGGACATCAGGCCATGTTAAAGCAGTCGATTGTACTAGGAGCTCCTTTATCAATTTTTATATTCATTTTAAGTGAACAAAATACAATTTAACCTTCACAACAATGCTAAAAGTCAGTATTCTACAAAGAACTTTAACACTTATACTTACATTAAGACAATCCAGTTCTGTAAGACCACTTCATAAATTAAGAAAATTAAAATGTCAACCTAAGTAGTTCTAGAATTTTAACAGGGATCTTGAGTTTTAAAACCACTAGTCTCAAATTTTCCTTAGAAGATTGAGAAGTGGTTACTCAAGCTAATGTAATATTAAAAATGAATAAAAACAGGCAGGAGAAAGAAAGAAAAGAAAAAAGAAAGAGAAAAGAGTAAGTCTAGCAAACTGGTAAGGCACTAATGCTTCAATCAATAAACTAGCATCCAGAAACTACCTTGGACAATAACTTTGAGAAAGAAATATGCTTCCCACAATGATCAAACTTTACCAAAGCACATTAAAGATAGGACGAAATCAGTCCATACTCTAGACAGCGATTCCATTGCAGAAAGATGTAAAGTAAGTTCAAAGGTGTAAATGTGATGCTGTGTAAAGGCTCCATCTCAAATGTGCAGCAGTGAAAACAATGCATGGTTTGTTGGTTAGATTTATTCCTCTTCCTTCCTCGATCCCCCCCTCTCACAATTCTCAATCTTCTGGTACAGGGGAAAACCTACAGATTTTTCCAAAACACACAGAACCCAATTCAATTTGCCACCTTGGCTAATAGGAATGCTGTAATATGGCAAAACCTTTGCTAATGGTAAGATATAAACATTCTAGCTAACTGTATTGATGTAGCAACATACTACTATCCTCAGAGACTCGATCTGAGGATAGAATAGCTACCTTTATGGAAATTCAGGTTGAGTTTTTAATTCAAATGAAAGCTGAAGACAAATGAACTTGGTCCTTCACTGCAGTAGTGAAGGAAACAAATGAAGACAGGAACAATTCATTCAAGGACAAATTTCAGCTGGTCCACAGTGCCCAATCTGGTGTAATTCAGTCCGTTTACTTACGTCTGCAACTCAAGATGCAGCAATACAAATTTATGCCCTAATTGGGTTAGACTACATATTAAGAATACTGAAACAATCTCAATGAAAGGAAGCCCTCTGGGGTTCTCAGCCTCCATTCCAGTAGAAATACCAATGTCAGGCAGACTTACTGGCACTGGGCTGACACTTAAACATGGATAAACAGAGGATGCTGCCAAAAGGGGTTACAAAAGGACAGGGGAAGTGATATGCTCAGCTCAAGCTATTCAATTTTATTACAATGGACAAAGCCATCTCATCCCACCAACTCTTAACTGTCTGACCTTTCAAAACGATACAGTTGTAAAGTCCCATGCAGTGATGACATGCGCTCAGTAAGTTAAGGCCTTAGGAAGGCCCCAGACTATCATCTGTTCATGCTTCTGAAAACATATCTAGAGGAGAACCACCACACAGAACATTTCAAATGACAGAAGATTTCAATATTTTCAGATTTTCATTTTCTTCTGTCACTTAGACACTAATAATCCAGGTTTCCCTAATTCTTGAGTCTACTTAAAAAATGCAGGGGTGAGCAAAAGTAGGTTAATAATATTACATAAATAATACAAAAATCAATCAATAAACATTACAAGAATAAACTGTGTTTCGTGTACTCACAACTGTAAACCTACTTTTGTCTACCCCTGTATATGTACCAGGGTTCACTTAAACCTTGTAAATTCTAGAAACTGAAAAGTATCACTATTACTCCAACAATCTATTTTTACGCCATTACCAAAGAAGCTTTTGGCCTTATACAAAAATTAATAGTTCTGTA